AGATAGTTATAAAATGATACACCGATCATTAAAAAGATAAAAAAAAAAGTTGGTCCCGAAAGGGTTAATAAAGAACATTTTCTCAATATATAGAGTGATAGAAGAAAAAATTCAATATTCTCTTTCTCGTAGACAAGAGTCTTGCAAACATATATTGTCAAAATTTCTTACATAAAGTAGGTTTCTTTGAGCAATTAGCAACTCTTGTTGAAAGAAAGCGATTCTAAAGAATAGAAGCTGTGATCTGCTGTAGAAGTTTTTCACTTAAAACTACTTTAATAAATTACAACTCGAAATCAGTAAGTTTTTCTATAAAATTTTGACAAAAAACCTTAGTTGGGCATGATTTTATAATATAAATTCTTATTAAGATTTACAAATGAAACTGCAATACTAAGGTTTTTCATGAAAAATTCTATAGTAATTCTTTTGATTTCGAAATTTGAATTTTTAAAGTAACTTAATATTTTATAAAAATAGACTTAGTTCCTTTGAAACGAACTCTTTAAAACAGAATTATTGATTATTCAAGTAGAGAAAGCATACTAAAAATTATTTTCATATTATTTATAAAACTGTTTTTTTCGATACAAAAAAAATAAAGTCTCTTTAGTAGCATAGAAATTGAAAATGGTAAGGTGTTTTCGTATCTACTTCAAGATTATATGAATATGAATCGTTAGAAATTCATTAATCTTTGCACTAGAGTAAGATAAGAAGAATCCTGTTGTCAGACTATTTCACTATTTTATAATCACTGTATGTATAATAATTTACTGTAACTTGTTATTTCAAAGACATCCTTCATAAATACGATTAATAGGAAACAGTATCAGTATTATTCTACATTTACTTATGATAATATATTATTTGTTGTAGAAATCTTTTTTTGTAAAAAGCTATAATAATTAGTTAACTTACTAACAACATTAAATTAATATTCTTTTGTATTATCTGATATAAAATCATAGCTACTCAATCAATTCTCTTGTTGCATTTCGAAGTATTATTAAGAGACTGCACTTTTGATAATAATATAATTTTCACATGATGTGATCATATTCTTATTTCATATTTTGAAACATTTATTTACTTTTTCTCATCTTCTTCCTTTAATTTGTAGATTCTATTAAGCTACTTATTTTATATTAAGGATTTATTTCTTTATTATACAATGCTTTCACGCAAGGGTATCATAGCAGGACCAAATGTACATAAAGAACCGCAACTTAGGACTTCGGGACGAACAGAAGTTGTTGCTTCATTTGTTCAACAACGAATTTGGCTTCATGAACAACTTTATTTTCATTCTTCAGACCTGCCTGTTTACAATATTTTGGCACCATTGATAATCAAACAAGGTTCGCTATCAATCATTGCCCTATGATCGACATCGTCTCTCAAATGAACATCGAAGTGGCCGTGGAACATCAATCTCATTTGATTTTGGTCAAGATCTTTCATATGATTTTGTTAACTATGCATTAACAAACAATATAGAACCTCAACATCTAGCACTTGTCGCTTATTATATGTTCTTATTTAAGTTAACTAATGGAAAAAGAGATATGTGTATTGGAATGAATACACATACTCGATATAAAGATGAACTTAAATCAATCATTGGATTATATGAAAATCTTATTCCATTACGATTTCAGTTAGATCGTGATGGTTCATTTCATGAACTAGTTGAATATGTTCAAGAAATGGCAACAAATGGTATGAAATATTCATATTTTCCTTTTCAACATATTCTTGCACAACATTCTGATTGTTCAAAGCCTACATTTCTTGATATATCTTTTGATTTTATTACTATTGAGAAGTAAATAATGATTGGTGATAGTGAACTTTGTAGTATTCCATTATCAATTGCAATGGATGAAGATGAAGGTGTAAACAAGTTTGATTTCATTCTTACTTTTCAATATGATCTCAACATAAATCAATTCTCATGTATAATTAATGCATCACTCGATTTATTCAATCAAGAGACAATAAATAAGATTTCACAACAATTTCATTCAATATTATAGGATCTCTTTACATCTGTCAATGATATAATGAAGAATAAATCAATCTATGAAATGTCAATAATGTTATCAAATGAAAGATTGCTTACACAGTCAATGAACAATTACACAAGCATTGTTTCCTTCTGGCACCCGTATGCATCATGAATTTATTTATCAAGTAATACAACATCCACAACAAATAGCTGTTGAACTTGATGAACAATCATTAACATATACAGAACTTTTATATTATGTTCAACAACTTTCTCTCGTCTAATTAAATCAATACAATGTGAAATCGGGTGATATTATTTGTCAATGTGTAGAGCGAAGTTTATCTATGGTAAATATATTGACAAAATATTGTTTATAATAATATGTATATAATATATTCTTTATTTCTCTTTAGGTCATTGACATTTTATCAATTATTATGGCTGGTGGTGCCTATTATCCTTTATCATCACAAGATCCTTCACAACGTCTGCAAATTCTTGTGAAAGAAAGTCAAAGTCATTTAGTTCTTGTTCATTCGTCTACACGTATTCTTTTTGAAATCGATATTATAACTTTAAATATTGATACAATTATAAATAATGAAGAAAATTCTACTAGTATTCATCTGAATCAAACTTTAGATGTACCAATAACATTAGGAAATATTCTCTTTAGGTTCAACTACGTCATCGAAATTTCACTCAACTTTTACGCTTATTTGTTTATGCTGATATATTAACAAAAACTGATACAATCATACAGATGGTTCGATGTTCTTTTGATAATCATCTATTAAGTCTTGTTGGTACACTAACTATTGGAGCTACATTAATAATGCTTCCACCAGAAGGTCATATGGATTTAGATTATCTTGCAGGAATATTGAATGAAAAACAGATCACTACTATGCATACTGTTCCATATTTATGGAATAGTCTATTTCATTTTCTCAATACTACTAATCAAAAATCTTCAGTACAATGGTTACGTACTGTATGTAGTGGTGGTTAGTCATTGTTATTTTAGAATTATTATGTTATATTATTATCATATTCTTTTTGACTTATTCTATCACAGGTGAAGTTCTCAACAATAAATTAGTTAATCTATTAAAAAGTCAAGTGAGAAGTGAATGTCGAATTCGAAATCATTATGGTCCAGCTGAACTTACTATTAATTGTACCAGTCATCTGATTGATCTAAATAAAGATCAAACAGATATTCCCATAGGTCAATCTCTTCCCAATTATCAATTTTTAATACTAAACAAGTTCTTACAAACTGTTGGTATCGAACAAGAAGGAGAATTAGTTGTTGGATATCTTGGTCGTGATGATTCAACAGCTAAAGTAATGATTAATATTAATGAGCAAATATTTTATAAAACAGGTGATCTTGTTCAAATGGATAGCAATGGATTGATTCATTATGTCGGTCAAAGTGATTTTCAAGTGAAATTACGTGGACAACGTATTGAATTACAAGAAATTATACAATGTTTACTTATGTTAACATCCATTACTACATGTGCTGTTATCAAATGGGATGATAATCATCTTATTGCTTATGTTCAAAGTGATAAGATTAATGTTGAACAGTTACGTCATCATTGTCAATCTAATGTACCATCACATATGATTCCATCAATATTTGTTATACTTGAAAAACTACCTTTGAGTCCAAATGGAAAAGTAGATCGAAAACGTCTTCCACCACCGGATTTATCATTATTGACTCTCTCATCATCATCATCATCATCAACAACAGGATTAGAAAACAGATCTAATCTTCCACAAAATCAATTACAAAAACAGATTCATGATATCTGGTGTGAAATTCTTCGATGTATTGGACAACAAATTTCAATAACTGCAAATTTCTTTAGTATTGGTGGTCATTCACTTTTATTTATTGAACTCTATCATCGATATCAACAATTATATGATTTTGATAATCGTGTACTTTCTATTGCCTTATTTCTTCAACAATCAACTATTCTTCAACATTCACAATTACTTCAATCTATTACGATCAATCAAATGAAATCAGAACATTGGCATACACTACATGTCAATCAAGGTAATACGAAATTGTAATGTTAATATTCAAAAAAATAAACTAAAATGTTGTTTTTTTCTCTCTCTCATTGATAATGAAAATCTTTAGGTATTGCATCTTTTGCTCAAGAACGTATTTTTCTTGATGAACAAATGCGTTTTTCTAACAAAATTACTATCTACAATGAATTGACTGCTTTAAAAATTATTCAAGGTTCAATATCAATAGATCGTCTATTAGAAGCTATTGAATATATTTTAAATAAACATAAAATATTACGTACATTTCTCACTTTCAACAATGATAATGGTATTCTTGAACAACATATTGATAATAAGCATCGTATATTTCAACTTGTTCCCAATCAAACATTTAAAAATGAAAATGAACTGCAAGATATTCTCTATCAAACAACTATTAATCCTAATTTATTTGATTTATCCACTGGTCTTGTTTTTCATTGTGAAGTACTTCGACAAGAAATCGTATCTAATAATAATAATAATAATAATAATAATGATAATAATAGATTCATTACAGATTCTGATATTCTTCTTATAGCATTTCATCATGCTGCAACAGATCGTTCAGCTTATCAACTTTTTCTAAATGACCTTTGTTTTGCTTATAATACAAATGTAAAATGGACAGGTGACGAAGATTTATTACAATATATTGATTATTCTGTTCACGAACGTTTAATTGATATGAAACCATCACGTGATTTTTGGCTTCTACAATTGAAAGACTATGATTTTGAACATCGATTATCATTATCGACTGATCAACATTGTTTATCTAATGATCAACGATCTGGTTTTGCTTCAATTACTCAGATTTCTTTAATAAAAATATTTCAAAATCATTTCTTAATTATGTTTCTACACATCAAACTACTCCATTTCAATTAGGTATGGCATTATTTTATATTTTCCTATTTAAATTAACTCAAGATCAAAATGATTTATGTATTTCTTGTCATAATGCAAATCGATATAAAACTGAATTACAAAATATGATGGGAATGTTTATTTCAACATTACCATATCGTATGAAACTTAATTCTAATTGGTCATTTAATGAACTTGTTAAACAAGTACAAGATAAATGTATATCAATTCTTGAACATTCTCATTATCCATTACAAAATATTCTAACTGATATTCATGCTAATCAATCTAATGTTGCTTTTCTTCAAACAGTATTTGATTTTATTACTCGATCTCCTGATATTGATCAATTATCTTTAGATGATGTCAGTTTAAAACCAATTGAATTAAAACAATCCATTGAAATTGCTAAATTTGATTTTGCATTAACATTTATTTATAATCCAATGTCAAATGATGAGATGTTATCATGTCGTTTTGTTTGTTCACATGATCTATTCGAAGATATGACAGTTACAAAAATTGCTCGACGATTTGAATATCTTATTGAACAACTATTTTCAATGGATTCTAATATTAATCAAACTGATATTCTTGTTTCACCTATAACTAAACTTAGTCTTATTTTACCAGAAGAAGTTTATGAAATGGAACGAATAGTTTTTTGTCGACAACCAGATATTATGAATGAAGGTAAATATATGTCTTTAATGTATTTGAGAAAATTATTAGACGATAGAAATATGCATGTACAGGATTCACACTTAGATCCTTATCCATTCCCATTATAATTAAGTATATTCATCTTTTAATGTTCTTATTATTATTATATAGCACCAGCATCATATGCTCAAGCACGTATTTGGCTTGATGAACGAATTCGTTTTGATTCAAAAAATTCTCAAGTTGCCATATATAATATGCCTTTTCTTCATCGACTTTCATCAGGTGGTACTCTATCAATATCTAAACTTCGTCAAGCTTTACAACATATTCTTATGAAACATTCTGCTCTTCGTACATCACTCTATTTCGATACAAATAAAAATATATTAATGCAAAAGATTATTGATCATACTGATAATAAAGAATTATTTACATTTATTGAAAGTACTTTCGAAACAGATGAAGATCTCAATAAAATTATGCATAATGAACGTGGGAATCCAAATAATTTTAATCTATTAATTGGTATTGTTTGTCGATGTCATGTTGTTTATTATAAAAACAGTTCTCAAAAAGGAATAATTTGCGAAAAAGATGCGCTTATCTTTAATTTTCATCATGCTTTGTTTGATTTTCCATCAATGAAAATGTTTTGTCAAGATCTTGATCAAGCATATACAATGGGTTACTTGGAAAATGATGATAATACAACTTTGCGTTATCTTGATTGTATGTTAACTTATTTTGTTTATTGTTTTTATATCTTATACTGACATACTTTTCATTTTATTTAAGATGCTGTGGCTGAACAACAAATGCCGATGACAGCTGCCAATGCTTTTTGGCTTGATGCTCTTCGTGATTGTGAAATCGATCGACCTTTACAATTACCATTTGATCGACATCATGTTTCCGATGAGCATCGTACAGGTCGTGGAACTTCAATTTCATTTCAATTTGACAATGATCTTTCAAAAGCATTTCTAACCTATGCTTCAACATATAATATTAAACTTGAATATTTAGCACTTGCTTCTTATTATACATTCTTATTTAAATTAGCCAATAATGAAAATGATATATGTATTGTTATGAATAACTATGGTCGTTCGAAACCTGAATTAATGTCAATTATTGGAATGTTTGTTAATGCACTTCCAATGCGATGTCAAATTAATTCTAATCATTCATTTCATGAATTTGAAAAACATGTACAAACAATAGCAACACAAACATTCGAACATTCTTATTCTCCTCTTCAACGGATTCTTGCTCAACATCCACATATTTCTCGTCCTACATTTCTTGATGTATTCTTTGAATTTGTTTCTTTTTCAACTGAACATAATCATGATGAAGTGACAGTAGGTGGTGTTCCTATTTATACTATGCCCTATTCAATTCAAATACATACAGATGAAATAACAAGTAAATTTGATTTTTCTCTTAGTATTATACATGATACAATAACCGATCAATTATTATGTTCAATCGAGGCATCTCTTGATTTGTTCAATCCATCAACAATATATAAAATTGAACAACGATTTCAAATTTTACTTCAACAACTTTTCCCGTCAGATTCAATAAATGAAACTTGTCAATCGATTCATGAATCTTCAATAATATTACCTAATGAAAAAATTCTTATGGAATCAATTAATAATCCTCAAACTTTATTTTCTTCATCTACTCATTGTTTGCAATATGAATCTATTCAGCAAGTAAATAAACAATCACAAAAGATAGCCATAGAACTTGATGAACAATCTCTTACTTATAATGAATTATTATATTATGCACAATGTTTATCTCTTGAGTTTTGAACAAACTAAAATTATATTCCTGGTAATGTTGTATGTCAATGTATAGATCGTAGTATATCAATGGTAAGTTATCTTCTAAAGCGAACTATTTTGTATTTAATTAATTATTGTTATATTATAGTTTATTTGTATGTTATCTATTATTATGGCTGGTGGTTCCTATTGTCCATTATCACCTCGCGAGATCATGAACATCGTCTTCAATCTCTTATCGAACAAACTCAAAATAATCTAGTTCTAGTAGATTCAACAACACATAATAAATTTAAAGAGCAAACGATGATAATTAATATTAATACAATAATAATAAATAATAATAATGAAACAATCAATACAAATTATTTAGATCTATTTTCAACTTTCACAATAAACTCTAAAATGTCGCTTTTGTAATCTTTACTAATAGTTCAACAGGCACACCAACAGTGGTAATAATTATTTCATAATAATATCATATTATTCAATAAAATTAAAACTAATAAACATCAAACCCTAATGAAAAATTTAATTAAAATGACGTTTCCAACACATTCATCATTAGTAACAAAATTATTTAATGAATTACTCCAACAAATATCATCAAAAAGTACAATTAAATTAAATTAAATGAAAATCGATTTGAAATTCCACAAAATTCAAGTCAATTTAATCTTCAATGGTTTTATCAAATTAATATTCAAAAATAAATTTTCATTTTAATGATTATTCATCACAACAAAAAACTCTACAATATCAATTCTATCTTTTTACAGAACAATTAAATAAATAATGGCATGATAAATCAGAAAATATTTTTCAAAAATTAAATATTTCATTAACTCATGATAATATTCACTTATTAAAAGCACGTTTACCCCCTATTTTAAATCTACCATCAATTTAAGATTTTGAACAAGACCGTATTAGCATTGCTCTTTATCAGGTATATATTCGATTTTCTTTTTATTAATAGAGAATATTTTCTCAATATATAGAATGGTAAAAGGAAAATTTTAATATTCTCTTTCTCGTAGAGAAGAGTCTTGCAAACATAAATTGTCTGCTTGCTTGTATCCGTATTATTTAGGTCTGATGATCGTTGACTTTCCAAACTTATCTTCAATTAATGGTTCCGGTGCTCCATCTGACTTAGCTAATATGGTTCCACATATCGAACAACATGTTAAATAGATAACAAAATGTTTGGAATATCTACAAACGCATGATATCAATATGATAGAATCTACTCTAGAGGTAGAAAACACTTGGGTTAAACATGTAAATGATGTTGTCGAAAATACGCTTTTTTTGAACATCCAAGCCAATCTACAACGGAGCAAATATCTCTGGAAAACCACGAGTCTTTATATCTTATGTAGGAGGCTTTGATATTTATATGGAAAAATGCGAAAAAATCGCCATCAATGACTATGAAGGTTTTCATCTGATGAAGTAACTACGATCATTACAGCATGGGTAATGCAAAACATTCACATTAATTTTATTTTTAATGTAATTTCGTAACAGAATATCGTATAGTTCTGATTTCTTTGTTTGATTTGATATGAGTGTCGATGAGAACAATTATATTTGCTTTATTCTTTTCAGATAATTCTATTTCTCACAGTACTTGTTTATTAGGCTTCTACCACTTACCAAATTAGAATACAAAATGTCAACAATGATGGAAATGGCTTTATTACAAAAGGTTCAAGAACAAAAAATGATGCTTACACCAGCATCATCAGCTATTCCTACTGCTGGGTGTTCGCAAAGTGCTGCATCCTTTGCACAAGAACGGATATGGTTCGATGAAAAGATCCATCACGATCCATCAATCTCACCTGCTATGCATAATTTTGTTTTACCTTTAGTGATTAAACATGGCTCAATGTCAATTGAGCGCATTCGTTCGGCCGTTGTTGCTGTTCTTGAACAGCATGAAATATTTCGAACTGCACTTTACTTCGATAAAAATCGTAATATGTTGGTCCAAGCAGTGCAATCTTTGGACAACAATAACGCTTACTCCCTTGAAATAACAGCAAACGATATACAAGGTCTTGATGAAGTTGCTGATCTACTTAGGAATGAATCAGTCAAGCATTTTGCTGAATTAGAACATGGTTTAGTTATTCGTTGTCATCTAGTTAAGATGGGATCTGACGATGACATGGAGAAATTATATCCTCAAGATTTGGTTATTTTTATATTTCATGGTGTAGCATTCGATTATAATTCTATCAGTCCGTTTCTTGTTGCATTTACAAAAGCATACGATCAAATGGAAGTGGATGTTGAAAGGTTACAATATATCAGTTTCAGTCTGCATGAGCATCAACAATTCGTTAATATTCCCGAAGACTCTCAAATACGAAGAGCCCAACAGTTTTGGTCAAAAATGATTGATGACTACAGCCTTGATGCAAACTATCCGACACCATTTACGCACCCATTCGACACAAGAAAGCGTTCTGGAGAAGGGCATAGTACATCGTTTATACTGGATTCGATACTTGTCAAAGCTCAAATGGAATTTGCATCATTACATAATTTGTCTATGTCTCATACAACATTAGCGTGCTTCTTTCTTTTTATTTATGAACTCAATGATGGTACTATTAGTGACTTGTGTGTGACCTGTCCTACAAAAAATCGATCATTGGTTGATACAAAATGCATGATTGGTACGTTTGCGAATTTATTACCATATCGTATAAAAATTAATGCAAATGAAAGCTTTATTAACTTGGTACAGCGAATTTATCAATTGGACATGGACATTCTTAATCACTGTCAACTACCTTATCAACAGATCATCAGGGGCAATAGCGAGTTATGTTCAAGCAAGATTCCATTACATTTTCAATATGAAGAAACTCACTCTTCTTCAACTAGTGAAATGAAATCGATAGCCAAGACAAATGATGTGACATTAAGTTTATATACTGAACAATCTTGGCTACATGGCAATGGTATTGCTTCTCATGATATGAATTTAAAACTGATCCATAATCAGTCCAGTCAAACGACTTATTGCATTTTCGAATGTAGCGCTGATTGTTATGATAAAGTGACGGTGTCCAACATTGGTCGATATTTTCAGAATATACTTTCACACATCTTCACTGAAAATAAAAAAACCATTGGTTTCGACCCAAGTTTTGAAAAAATTGGAAATCTTTCTCTTTTACCAATGAACGTTGAAACTTTATCAAACGTCATCGAATCATTACGACATTTCTCTGAAATAAGTAAGTGCTTCGAAGAAAACTCGTTTCTAATTCCTCTTTACACATCTGCATGAATTAAAGCTCTTACATGATGCATAACTTGTAGAAATATTCTAAACCCCTTCGAACATAAAAATGTATAACTTCAGCTATTTGCGAGAGATTCGAGTATTTAACTGTGAGAATAAACTTAATAAGTGTGTAAGAATAATATGTGACTATCGTAGAACCAGCTTCATATGCTCAACACCAAATATGGCTCAATGAAGAACGTCGTCTGCATTTGGATGAATCACAATTGGCAACATACAATATGGTATTTTGCTATCGTCTTTCAGCTGATCATACCTTGTCTGTTCAGCAGCTTTGCTATGCACTCCATCTTGTTGTTGAAAAACATCAATCTCTAAGAACATCATTTGTTTTTGATACTACAAAAAACATTCTTACACAACGAGTTGTTGACCAACTGAATCATAAAAGCAATCGATTTTCTATAGTCGAAAGCATTTATGAAACAAATGAACAATTGGATGAAATTATACACAATGAGACACATAATCCTCATATTTTCGATCTTGCTCAGGGTCTTGTCTTCCGATGTCATCTTGTTCGTTATAAACAAGTTTCTACTAATGATCTTATCTCCGATAACGATATCATCATCTTCAACTTTCATCATGCCTCGTTCGACTGTCCATCAATGAAGATATTTCTCCATGATCTTCATCAAGCATACACCACAAGTCAGCTACTCAATGATGACAGCACCATCAGACTTCGCTATCTCGACTGTAACTATCCATACTTCTCTTTTTATAATCATATCATGTCTTTCTCTCTTTTTTAGATGCTATCATGGAACAACACATGGCTATGATTGGTGCAAGCATATTCTGGCATGATGCTCTGCATGATTACAAACTAGATCAGTCTCTCTCATTGCCATATGATCGATATCGACCTACGAATGAATACCGATCTAGTTTTGGAACATCTATTTCATTCGATTTAGATCGAGATCTTTGTGACACTTTCCTCCAGTACACATCGTCACAAAACATCGCACTGGAACATCTAGCATTATCTCTGTATTTTATCTTTCTGTTTAAACTGACGAATGGAGAAACAGATCTATGCATTGGAATGAACGTAGATGGTCGATACAGAGATGAACTTAGATCAGTGATTGGTATGTTTGTCAATGCTATGCCCTTGCGATGTCAATTAGATCCACAATGGTTTCTACATAAACTTGTTAATCATGTTCAAGAGATACTAACTAACAGTCGTAAATACTCTTATTTTCCTCTTCGACGTCTCCTAGATCAACATCCACATGCTTCGAAATCTGCATTTCTTGATACATCATTCGAGTACATTCAATATTCACCACAAGATCTTGGTAATGACCTGATTATAGGCGACAGTCATCTCTCTGTGATGCCTATTTCGAACAAGATTAGTGAAGATGACATCATGAACAAGTTTGACTTCATTCTTAGTATTCGGCATAATATCGATATGAATCAACTGTCATGTACAATCAATGCATCACTTGACTTGTTCAATCGAGAGACAGCGGAGAACATTTCACAACGATTTCATTCCATCATATATCAATTATCTGCATCTATTGTCGACAGTCAAATAAACCAACCTATCTATGAATTATCATTAACATTATCAAATGAACAATATCTAATGCAATCATTGAATAATACACAAATATCATTTCCATCTCCTCGCACTTGTATCCATCATGAATTTGTGAATCAAGTAATGAAACATCCACAAAAACTAGCTGTTGAACTAGATGAACAATCATTGACATATTCTGAACTTCTGCATTGTGTCCAAGTGTTATCTATAACTCTTCTTAATGAATATCTTATCACTCCAGGTGAAATAGTTTGTCAATGTGTTGAGCGAAGTTTATCAATGGTAAGTTATCTAGGATGAGTAACTCTATTAATGTGAGTTTGAGAATGATTTTTGATTAGGTGATTGGCATTATGGGAATTGAAATGGCTGGTGGTGTTTATTGCCCGTTATCACCTCGAGATCCACAACATCGTTTGCATGCACTCACAAAACAAACACAAAGTCGTCTTGTTCTTGTTCATTATTTAACCAAGATTAAATTCGATCATAATATTGTTCCACTTAATATTAATTTAGTGATAAATATTAATAATATGGATAGTCAAACGGATTATAATTATCTTTCGAGTGTGGGAGTAAAAGGCAAAGAGATGGCCTATATTATTTTTACTAGTGGTTCAACGGGAACACCCAAAGCGGTTCGTTGACGCTTCGTTTTCTAATTTTGGATTGATTTTCATGTTCTTTCACAGGTTCAAGTTCGACATAAGAACTTTATTGATTGTATCAATTCTTTGGTTTATATTAACTCATTTAATAAAGATGATACAGTTGTACAAATGACACGATGTTCATTTGATATTCATGTTCAAGAAATACTTGGTACATTAACGGTTGGAGGCACATTAATTATGCTTCATCCAGGCGGAACTATTGATTTCGATTATTTATCCAGAGTGTTAGAGAACAAACAAATTACATATCTACATACTGTACCAAGTTTACTGCACGATTTTTTTACTTCTGTCGTGGAAAACAACAATCCGAATGCTTTGAAGCATCTTCGATCACTGTGCAGCAGTGGTGAGTGACTTCCGAATTAATTTCGTTCACTTATTCAGTGTATGTTTATTGTTATAGGTGAACCTTTTTCTGTTCCTTTAATTGATTTGTTTGTGAAAATCGGTATAACAAACTGTGTTCTGTGGAATTTGTATGGCCCAGCTGAAGCAACTATAGGTTCTACACTTCATTGTGTGAATGTTACAAATGATACACAGAGCATACCAATCGGCAGACCATTTTATAATTACCGATGTATGATTATGAATGAATATTTACAATCAACTGCCACCGCTCAAGAAGGTGAACTGTTTGTGGGAGGAGCAGGTGTCTTTGCTGGTTATCTTGGTCGTGATGATTTGACAGCTACAGCTATTGTTGAAATAGATGGTCAACTATACTATCGGACAGGTGATCTTGTTACCATCAATAATAATGGACTTCTTCATTATCAAGGAAGAAAAGATCATCAAATCAAACTGCATGGACAACGAATTGAACTTGGTGAAATCGAACGATGTTTACTTAACATTACATCCATCTCTGCTTGTGTTGTCATGAAGTGGACTGATAATTACTTAGTTACATATGTTCAAGCTTCTCATATCAGAGAAGAACAACTACGTCAACATTGCCAATCTCATCTTCCACCACATATGATTCCATCATTCTTTATTATTCTTGATAAATTACCTCTGAATCAAAATGGAAAAATAGATCGAAAACTACTTCCATCACCTCACTGTTCATCGTCAACTATGCCATCACTAAGTGAACTTGATAAACCAGTCAATCCAGTAGAAAAAAATGTGTATGATATTTGGTGCCAAGTGCTGCAGCGCAGTGGACAACATATACCAACAACTACAAACTTCTTTACTATCGGAGGTCATTCTCGTGTGTTTATTGAGCTTTATCATCGTTATCAAACTATCTTTGGTTTCGATAGTCGTACATTATCTGTTAGCCCATTTCTTGGACAACCAACTATTCAACAGCATGCAAAGTTATTAAGGACAGTTAAGACTGATGATATTCGAAGGGAACAATGGTATACTCTGCACATTAATCAAAGTAAAAATCTCTAATATTAACTATTAAAATAAACTAAAATGTTTTGTTATTGCATTTTCAGGTATGGCATCATTTGCTCAAGAACGTATATTTTTGGATGAAAAAATTCGATTCTCTAATAAACATAGTCTCTATAATAATTTTGTTGCACTACGAGTTACCGAAGGTATTTTATCAATAAATCGAGTACTACAAGCTGTCCAATTGGTTTTGAGGAAACATGAAATATTGCGTACTTCACTCGTGTTTAATAATGATGATAGTACACTACAGCAATATGTCACTGATAATCACAAGACATTTACATTTCTTGATCAGCAAAATTTCGAAAGTGACAATGAACTTCAAAATATTATTTATCGAACGGTTATCAATCCTGATCTGTTCGATTTGTTCAGTGGTCGAGTTTTTAGTTGTCAGATACTTCAACAGCAGAAGACTACGCATGAAACTGCTCACACAGATTCTCTTGAAAAGTCTGATATTCTTGTATTATATTTCCATCATGCAGCAGTTGATGGAACTTCTATACCAATCCTGCTGAATGATTTCTATAATGCTTATAGTAATAACATGACAGTTTCACTTGATGAACAATCAGTGCAATATATTGATTATGCTGTTCATGAACGGATTATGGATATGACATCATCTCGTAGCTTTTGGTATTCTCAACTGGAAAGATTTAATCTCAAACGTGCATTAAAGCTACCATTTGATAGACATCGTTTGCCAACTGTTCAAAGATCAGGCTTAGCGTCGGTAGCTCAAATTTCTTTTGATAAGGAGCTGTCAATGATGTTTCTTAATTATGCTTCCTTACATCAAATTACACCTTTTCAGCTTGGTTTGACTGCATTTTATGTGTTTCTCTTCAAGCTAACTCATGGAGAAACTGATTTATGCATTGCATCTATTAATGCTAATCGATATCGAAGTGAATTAGAAAATATGATCGGCATGTTTGTTTCAACGTTGCCATATTGTGTACAACTCAATTCTCATTGGTCATTTGATGAAGTAGTTAAATATGTACAAGAGAAATGTTTATCAATTCTTGAGCATTCTCATTATCCACTTCAGCATATACTTACTGATTTTCGACTTAATCAATTGGATGTTCCATTTCTTGAGATCGTATTTAATTTCTTACCGGTGTCTACAAATATTGATCGATATTCTATAGGTGATGTATGCTTAGAAAAAATGTTAATCGAACAACCAGATGAAATTTCTCAGTTTGACTTCTCAATAATGTTCCTGTACAATCCGACATCAGATGATCATAAACTTTCCTGTCGATTCTCCTGCTCGCATGGTTTATTTGACAATACTACTGTTAAAACAATAGCGCAACGATTTCAGTATCTCCTGTCACAATTATTTCTGACAAACTCAAATAGTATGGAAAAGAATTTATCTACTAAGTCTATCAAAAATTTGTCTTTGATATTGCCTGAAGAAGCGGATGAAATATCTACATTATCATTAAGTCGCGTGACAGACGTTGCTACAGAAGGTATGACTATTCCTTTTTCGTATGAAAAGATTCTTTAGTTGTGGGTGAACACCATATAAGAAAAGCAAAGGACACAAAGATATGAACAACGATGAATACTTGACACCGATACTAACATACACATATTAAAAACATCCCCAATCGAAAAATTTGAGAGTCGGGGAGTGTGAGTCTGGTTGTGGGAGTGAGTGAGAGTGTATGATTACTAAAATAAACACACCCACATAATAAGTTGCATCCTACATGGATGACAGCAACGACAAGCTCGTAGCATAACAATAGTAATAGTATGAACGAGAATGATATACTGTTCGTAGAGAAGGGTTTTTCATTGATCACTCGTTTCCAGGTTCTGTAGTTTTCTTCCAACATTAATCCCATTTTTAGCATGTAGAGGATCTAGGAAAGATTTTCGTCAATGTTACGTTCTCTTCCTACTAGAATATGGACTTTGAAGATGAAGATGAAGTCCATTACAGGGTACATCAGTTTCTATCTATCGATTTAACTTAGAAACCTTGATAGCACAAACACATACATATATGATAAAAATAACTACAAAAGAAAGAAAAGGGAAGATGAAATCGATAGATAGATAAAAATGTCCTATTATCATAGACAAATTTATTAATTATTTGAGTGAATCTCTATAAATCAGATAAATAAGCTTGATAGGCAATATGAATGGTGCAGATTCAGGTAGCACTAACAACAGTATGCACTGAGATCGTTGCTTAAGTATTCGTACTAGAGAAATATTAATATTCTTTGTTAGAATTCTACAAACTCTCATGACACTTATATTAGCAGCTGATAATAGAAACAACAGCTCGACATTTAGATTCGATCTGTATTACCATGATGCAAATCCTGTTCACATCCGTAGAAACAATACTCTTCTTTTTCTAAAGTGTGAATTCTCAAAAGTGAACAAATTTTGTCTTTTTTTAAAAGCGAGTCGTCAGTAGCTGTACTATACTAATACTAGTTTCATAAGAGTGCCACAATATTGTTTTTTTTATATCAGAATCAACATAAAACTGTTAAATAATACTATCAATGTGCATAAAACCTTTCAGGACAATATCGTCTGATCGGATCTGGATACGACTAGCAATATCCATCGGTTTTTATAGTAGAATTCGATCGTATTCAGTGCTCGACCTATCATCCTAGAGATATTAAAATACCTTTCTTACTGCCACTGCAAAATATCTATTTGTTCTTAACATTAATACTAAAACAATACATTTAATACAGATTCTGTTCAGTCAAAGAGGAGAT